TTGTATATACTGTATTTATATTATATTAATCCCATGCTTCAGGGCTCCCAGTGATTACTTTTAGGGCTAGACAGAATTTTCCTTCTTTGATCCATAATGGGAGTTCTTTTTTTCACCTGCCTTTGGGCAATGGAGGTAGAGATGTATAAAGTACTTTTAGTGACATTAAATTTATACATGTCTGATTGGTGTATATTGCTCACACACTCAGGATTAAACCAGTGACCAGATTTGGGGTCAGGAAGTGTTTTTCCTGTGGCTGAGATTGACTGCCTCAGTGGTATTTTTAAAACCTTTTCTTGTACCATGGGACATCATGTGCTTCCTGGCATTTTGTTGAAATTTTATTTGAACAATTCCTTGCTGCCAGATCCTGGGAAGAAACTCTTAATTTTGTGGCACAATATATTTGTGTTCCTTGCCTTTTTATGAAATAACTGAAGTTTATTGCAGCACAGTTTTGGTAGCTGCCATAGGTGTGGCATAAAATACAGATATTTTATGGACTAGTCTAGATGATAGGCATAAAGACATTTTTAATATAGTAGCCCATGACTGCTGTTCTGGACAAACTGTTGCATGTATACCCTTCCACTCCTATTTTCTTGTGTTTTGGACAGTCACATCAGAGATGGGCTGGAAGTGATTTTGTTGTCCGGCACCAGGTTGTCAGCTCCAATCTTTCCTTTAGTTTTGTAGAGAGAAAATCAGACAAAGAATGGTAAAATGGGGATTATGGGGGTGGAAATCCAGTGGTTGACTGCCCGTGTGCACCAGTGTTTGGAAGAGACACTGAGTACAGCTGGAGAGCAAATTGGCTGGAGTGGTGTAGAAGGTTTTGATTGTTTCCATTTCTGTTTTGTGTTGAAGAAAATGGCCTCAGTTGCTTCTAGGTTACACACAGTGCTTGCAGTCTCAAGCCTGACGCCTCATCTGTTTTTTCCTTTCTTCTACTAAAGCTAATAGTAGTGTAAATGTGGGAAATTGTAGATATGTTTCTGATTTAAATAGAGAATACAATGTGAACCTATTAGATTAATAGTTATAATGAAACCTGCATGCATTTTTCTTGGCAGTCATTTCAATCACTTCATTGTAAGCAATCCAACTTTCCTGTGTTTCCTCAGTGAAGCATATTTCTAGAGAATTCAGTCTTTCCAAGTGCACTGTCAAGTGCTGATAAATTTTTATGAGCTTCAGCTAGTGGGTGACAGCCACCATGGATATCAGAAATTATAGGAGAGCACTTAATGTGTTCTAGTCCTCCTCTGGAGTACATCTGCTTCAAGTGTCAAATCATGACTGGTATAATCTTTACTTTTTTTCCCTTGGTTGTTGGAATAATAACTAAAGCTCTCCCTAGAAAACCCAAACAAGGATCATTAGGATAGTAGACTTTTCATGTTAATGTCATGAAATACAGCAAAAGCTGAGATGGTCTGGGGTGACAGACCACTGCATCTTTACTTACCTGTTCCTTGGTCAGGGTATAAAGTGAAACAAGCCAGGACCTGAACAATTCTTAAGTGACTGTCTCTTGTGCTGAGCTGGGACATGTTACAAAGATTACACCTGTCACAATAGGATTGGCTATCCACAGAGGCCAAAATTAATTTTATCCCCCTTTAGACAGCTGAGGTTCGTAACCTGGAAACAGAGAGGCTCTGCTATACATAGTGAAGGAGAAAAGGGATTTCAACCCCTAAGAGATCAATATTTACTCTAATATGTTGTAAATGAGAAAAAAAATCTACGCATTTCTAGGCTAGTAGAAGTATTGAAAGCAAGGGACATGAGAAAAGCAGAATATAATGACAGGCTCTAGCTTGGTTATTTTTACATACTAAGCCATGAAGTGGTAAGCACCCCAAAGGAAATTAGCTATCTTATAATGTTTATCATCCTGAGAACTCAAAGTATTTAATCAAAACTGTGAATTTAAAGTGGAGATAAAATGGCTTGCCTAAATATCATACAATAGAGAGAGAAGTGTCCTGGTCTATATGGTCTATAATCTAGTAAACCATCTAAAAGATTGCATCATATTAGAAGAAGTTCCCCCAGTGTTCTAGTTATAATTTCTGGAGCCGGTAGCTCCGAATTTTTGAGAGGAAGTTCCTTCAATCTAGTTTAAACAAGGTCTTCTGAGCTGGAAAGAAGGAAGAGATTCTAGTGGAGCATGGCAAGAAGACAGAGAAGGGGTGATAAACAGAGATGGTGAACTGGCATATAATCAAGAATTATGGGTGGAGTAGGGGGAAATGTGATAATTAGTTAATAGCGGCAGAAGCAGTTTCCGTATATAAATATTTGACTTATTTTGTGGAATAATTCACAGCGTAGTTGAAATATCCACTGGCACTTAAGTATTTTGACTTCCATGAAGTGAATTCTGTACCCTTTAATGATTTTATCACATCCCTTGATATAATCCTTGCAGATTTGAGCACTGTTCACTTAATTTTTGACATATTTAGTTAGAATATAATGAGCATGTAAAGAAAATAAAACATCATTATATGTAACACAGATGTACCAGATTTTATTTTTACATGCCTATGAGTTATAACACTTACATTGCAGTACCATCTGTAATCCCTGGCAGAGCTGAGGCATTCTACAGATATATAAGAAATGACAGGTACCCTATGACAAACAGCTTACTGCCTAGCACACTGAGCAAGCTGATGAAAGAAAGAAGGTACAGAATATGAGCGAACAGGCTGAGCAAGCTAGCGAGGGAGGTAACAAAAAATAGAAAATTAAATTTACATAGGCATGTAAGTCATCTAGGAACCTACCTCAGAAGTCAGTAGGTTTCAAAACTGGATTTTGCATCATTGTTTTCCAGCAGATGTTAGTTTATTAAACACCACGCTATCACCAAAATGAGATGTTGGTTCTTATACCAACATGTGGTCTATGGTGCATACCAAAGAAGGTGCAGGAGATGCTGGGAAAGCCTGGGAAGACATGAGAAATAACAAGTTCCACTTTATGTCCATACCTTACTGACATCACTGAGTATTGAAACCTGCAGAGTCAGAGGGTAGACTAATACCTTCAATATCTCAAAGAATAATTTAATAAAGCACTAATTAAGTAAAATATTAGGCTGCTAATTTGAATTAATTTAAAGGGACAGTCTCAGGTTCTTACTAGGCTATTTATGTTCTCTGCACTTGGATTTACATTGCAAGTAAAGTCCAGGACATGGCTTGCCTGGAAAAAAGCTCATTGTGCTTATTCGTAAGAGAGATATCAGAGTCCACGGTATTTTGAAAACAATTAATTGGGTACATAACACTACAGTGAAAGCATTGCAATATCACTTGATCCTGTGGGAGTACCAACAATGCAAGAAGTGACTGACTATTTCCTTTTCCAGGATACTACACTCCATAGCTTTTGTTCAGTTTAAGAGGACTTCCACTTTGCTTTAATTATGGTATTTCATTACTGTCCATTTAATGAAAGAAGTTTATTGATGATATCAGCTTGGTGCATGATATATGCAATCAAAAACCATCAGTGAATCACCATGAAATAAAGGCCGTGAACACAGGAAAGGCACCAGTCAAATGATGCTTCTGTGCTATGAACTAATGTGTCTGTATCAGCGTCCAGCCCCCTCAAGGGGATTACTGAGTCTACCTTAAATTTTTTCTTCAAGATGTCTAAAAACAAATAATTACTTGGCCATATTTATAGATGTTTAAATAGAATCACCAGTTCTAGAAGTGTAGGCATTTACTGCTGGTAGAAAACCTAGAGGATTTATATACTTTTTGGCATTCTTCCCACAGTGACAAATTGTCCTTTATTCAGGGATTCATTATTCCAGGTGATGAACTCTTGCCAAAATTTTCAAGCTCAAGTAACTAAAACTAGATACCCAGAGAAAAGGTTCCTAAATTGTTCACATAGAGTTCCAATTCCTGACAACAAACGAGATAAATTAAGGAGTGTTGCACACATGAAGCAATTTTGAAAAGAATTTTATTAAGTCATTTAGATGACAGAATGTGGTTGCTTAAGTATGGAAATGCCTGCAGATTTTACCTGAGAAAGCAAAATCCATAAAAGTTACACACAGGGAGGACAAGTGAATAAATTAAATGTTTTAATAAGCTGGAGAGTGATACGGCAAGGGAAAAAAAGTAAGTAAGTGGTAAATGATTTATCATTTTCTATGTAGCACATTTTTTTATGGTTCATTTCCTCCCCAATGTGAAATCTATAAAAAGAATCTTCAAGGAAATTGTGCAGAGTGTGGGGTTTCATTAACATATTACAATTACCCTGTGGCCATTCCTTGCTGTTAATCACAAGACCACAACAACTTCTAAAAATACAAACCCACAAAAGGGTAGCTGTTATGAACAGATTTCTCCCCTCATCACAAAAAAAACCTGGAGTTTAAGAAAAGAACACAGACTCTTCATCATAAGTAGGCTTTAATTTCTGTCTACACTGTGTGCTTCTCACTTCAGTAGCCTCAGAATTTGTGACTGAACAGCACTGTTTGGGCAGCCTATTGCCTACTTGAAAATCTCAGAAGCAATTACTTTCACAGAATTAAGATTTTATCGTACAAACTGGACAACACGAGTGAGGCTATTTGTTAAGCATTTAATCATATTTTATCAATTGTCCAGAGTTTACATCTCACCACAGATAATATCTCACTTTGAATGTGAACAACAAATGGAGGAGAACCTTAACTAAATGAAGTTGTCTCTGATTGGTATTTGAATGGCTTTCTTGAAAACTGACTGCTTGCCTGAGGCAGGGAAGGCAAGGAGACGAGGGTGGGACCTGAGATGCTGAGCAGTGATTAAAACATTCATAGTTCACACACAGCTCCTTCAGTGGGAAAGACTTCAAACGGGTCACAGAAAAACGAAGCTGGTGAAGTGTCTGGAGAACAAGTCCTGTGAGGAGCAGCTGAGGGAGCTGGGGGTGTTTAGCCTGGAGGAAAGGAGGCTTCTCTTCAACTCTCTGAAAGGAGGGTGTAGCCAGGTGGGGGTCAGCCTCTTCTCCCAGGTAACAAGTGATAGGACAAGGAAATGGCCTCCACTTGTTCCAGAGGAGGCTTGGATTGGATATTAGGAAAAACTTCCTCATTGACAGGGTTGTCAGGGAAGATGCTGCCCAGGGAAACTGTTGAGTCACCATCCCTGTAGGTATGGTAGATAAGACGTCTAAATGTGGTGCTGGGGGCCATGGTTTAGTGGTGGACTTGGTGATGCTGGCTTAGCGGTTAGACTTTGATGCCCAATGCACTTGGTCTGATCTTAGAGGACTTTTCCAGCTGAAATTATTTTGATTCTATGTACGTGAGGTATATTATGACCAGCTTTTCATACAGGGAACTGCAGTGGGTCTTGTTTTGTATGCAGATGTTGGGTAGCACTGCTTGTAGGTTTTTAGGTAATGGATTGGGAAGAAGAGCTGACAAAGGAGAACTGGTCTCAAACATGCCTTCAATGGAAGCTGATGTTATTAAGGTTTTAATTTAGATGAGAAGATTACTAAAAGGATTACTAAAAAGTTGGTGAAATTTTACTCATGCCATCTCATCCAACATCACTTTTAATTCCATCTGTCTCTCTTGAAAAGTCTCTGTGATTGTTGCAGCTATACTGGTGGCACTGGTACTAGTCCAGGAGCAGCTTCTCTTTACCCCTCTGTGTTAATTTCAAAGCAAATACCGAATAATCACTATCAGGGCCAGCAAGCTCATTATGTGTGAGCTAATTTGTCAAAGTCAATGTTTTCCTTATAAACTGAAGCCATGTTTTGTAAGCTAATTTTCATTAATAATTCTTAACAGTGCCTAATGATATTATTATAGAAAATTTTTTTTTTGCCATGAAATTATTTTGTATTAATATTGTACAAACTTTAATATTTTTGAACAGTAGGATGGACATTGTAGCTTATTAAGGTTTCCTCCACTTTCTTTATAAAAAAATTCTATTTCTATATATAAGAATATTGCTTTTCTTATTTACCTTTAGATCTGGAGAATTATAATTCATTATTTTAAATATTAAAGAATTTGGTTAGCAACTCATTTTTAGCATATTTTTTCCCCTCTAATTATGGTACAATTTTTCCTTTTTTGTCCGTCAGTAATATCACACGTTGACATGTATTCAGAAGGGATGTTGACACATTGTCCATGAACAGAGATATTTTGTAATATATTTTTCTTTTCTAAGGTGTTCTATGAGAACAAATTTCAGCCTTAGATTGAGAGAAAGGGTTTGTGGTAACAGTAGATATAAATTCTTGATATAGATACAAATTTCTTGTTCTTGCTATTCTGTTTTGTGGCTGAGGGCCTAATCTTCATATTCCTGACTTAAACTGCAAGAAGTTTTGTTTAAGTATGGCTAACAAATGGGTGATTAATTATTAACTTGCAATCCCATTGCCTGAAAGCCTTGTACTTGGCACCCCAAGTATTGGTTTTGTTAATTTTATTCTTATCTGATAAATCTGACCTGATGTCTTCATACTTAAGAAAACAGTGAAAGACCCGAAGCTAAAAGCAAGCCTCTGCTTGGACAAAAACATACTTATGCTAAAGCCATTTGTTTAAAAAACATTTAAACTTATGAGTTCAATCATAATAAACTGAAGTCCTTTGGAAAGTCATTGAAGTTCTTCACGGTTATACAAACAGAGCAGACTCTGATTCTGCAATTAGATATACATCTGCTTAAAGGAACATTGACTTTAAGCAGTGTTTACAGGGCTTTCTCAAATACTTGCCAATGGTTTTACTAACCTTCTCCTCCAGGTGTGAATTATGATATCACATCAGATACTAAGGTAATTTCACCTTTTGATAATGTCCCTTGGAATTTATTCTATCCCTCCTCAGTACCTCTTTGTTGGCCTCACTATAAAAGTGAAAACATTAATCTCATCACCTCAAACCTTGCTGCTTTTTTGCTACAGAAATTCCATCTTTCTCTGTGGATCTGCATATATATATATATTTCTTTTTTAGGTCTGAGGAATCACTGCAGTCTGGGTGTGTGTAGGCAGCCTCTACCCAGACAAAAGGCAGAGGAACACGTACAGCCCTGACACAGCATTATGTACAGCCCAACCAAAGGTAATTTCTCCTAAATATGTTATGGATGAACCTCAGATAATGCCTCTGATTGGTTTCTGGCTTTTTTAAGCAACTGAAAGTATTAGGAGTAAGAGTTAACATGGAAGAGAAAGAAGGGAACGAGAAATGGCTGGCTCTTGCAATGGGGAGTAGATGAGACTGCTACTCAGAATAGCAGGGCAGACACCTGGAGCATAACCCTGGCTCTGCACATGTTGGAGAATGCTCCAAGGCTGTGGCCAGGGAGGAAGTGCTAGTGCTTAGCTTACAGGTCCTGTCCTTGTAAAGCTTTTCTCTAAAAGTTCCTACACAGACCACATCACTTCAGTTTGCCTGATTTGTATTAGGTTTTGTGGATTTCTTTGTTGCTTTTAGTTTATTTTTGGTGTCATGTGAAACAACACTTTAGGTGTAAATGGGTAGAATGAAAGGTAATCATTACTGTTCTTAAAAAGGATAAATAATAGTAAAGCAGGTCCTTTTGGAGCATTCCAACTAACCGGGTATCTGCTGGAAGGAGAACACGGCAGAGCAAAAGCAATCCTGGAGGTTCTTGGAATGTGTCAGTGACAACTTCCTTACACAAGTGATTGAGGAGCCATCAAGAAGAGGTGCCATACTGGACCTCACTAACAGGGAGGAGCTGGTGGGGAATGCAGTGTTCCAAGGCAACCTTGGCTGCAGTGACCATGAGACGGTGGAGTTTGAGGTCCTCAGGGCTGTGAGCAGGGAAAGCAGCGAGCTCTCTGGAATTCAGGAGAGCAGGGTTTGGCCTCTTCAAATACCTGCTCAGTGGAGGGTGATGAGATGGAAACATGGAAGGCAGAGGGGCCCAAGGATAAGGCTGATATTCAAGGATCACCTCCTCCAAGATCACGGACAGTGGATCCCAACAAGGGGGAAATTGGGAAAAAATGCCAGGAGACCTCCACAGATGGACAATTAGCTGGTGAGCAAACTGAGAGTGAAAAAGAAGCTTTCAGGAGGTGGAAACAAGGACAGTTGGACTGAGAGGAATACAGGGAAATTGTATGGGAAGACAGGAGCAAGATTAGGGAAGCCAAAGCCCAGACAGTATTGGGTCTGGCCTGTGATACTGAGGATAACAGGAAGGGCTTTTATAGATATGTTGCCAGCAAGGGAAAGACTAAGGATAATGTGGGTCCTCTCCATAGGGAAATGGGAGACCTGTCTAACCTGGACAAAGAGAAGGGGGAGGTTCCCAATGACTTCTGTTCCTCAGTCTTCAACAGCACGTGCTCCAGCCATGCTGCCCAAATTGAGAAAGGCAAATGCGGGGAATGAAAACTCTAAATCCGCTGTAGGAGAGGATCAGATTTGAGACCATCTAAGGAACATGAATGTGCACACGTCTGTGGTACTCCATGAGATTCATTTGTGGGTCTGGAGGGATCAAGTTGCTGAGCTGCTATCCATGATTTTTGAAAAATCATGGCAGTCAGGTGATGTCCCTGATGACTGGAAAAAGGGAAATATAACCCCCATTTTTAAAAAGGGGAAAACAGAAGACCTGAGGAACTAAAGACCAGTCAGGCACATGGAGAACAAAGAGCTGATTTTTAACAGCCAAACACATGGCTTTAGAAAGGGGAAATCAAATTTGGTCACCTTCTATGATGAGGCTACAACATTGGTGAATATGGGCAGAGCAACTAACATTGTCTAACTGGACTTAGGCAAAGTGAGACTGTCCCACACCTGCGTCCTTGTCTCCAGGTTGGAGAGACAGGGATTTGATGGATGGACTGCTCGATGGATAAAGAACTGGCTGGATGGCTGCACACAAAGAATTGTGCTCAAGGGGTCATTGTCCACATGGAGACCAGTGACTAGCAGAGGAGACAAAGAGGAGAAGGTTAGGTTGGGTATTAGGAAAATATTTTTTACTGTGAGGGTGGGGAGACCCTGGAAGAGGTTGCCCAGGAAAGCTGTGGATGCTCCAACCCTGTCAGTGTTCAAAGCTAGGTTGGATAAGGCAACCTGGTCCAGAGAGAGGTATTCATACACATGGCAGGTGGGTTGGGACTAGGTTGTCTTTAAAGTCCCTTCCAACCCCTTAACTCTCTATGATTTCATGACTCTGTGTATGTAGAAATTTATTTGCTAGCCAAAAGTACAAACAGAATTCCTACCCTAAATTGTCATGGTAAATTCAGCTTTTTGATTTTTCTGAGGTCTTCTGTCATACTTAACATGTACCAGAAGAAACTGCCCATGGGTGGTTCACTGAGGCATCTTTAAAGACAGGAATTACTCATCATCATCCACCCTAAAGAATTAAAGTCATTCTTTTCTATTCTCCCTATTAGATTTGCATATGCTGCAGAGCTAACCAACTTTAAGAGCAGAGAATAATAATAAATAATTCCCTTTCCTTCAGCAAAACAACTTAATTTAATTTGACCAGCCACAGGGAAAAAAAAAAAAAAACAACCCAAAGAAATAATCCCTTCAAGAAAAACATCACTCTTCTGCCAACTGTGTTTCCCAAAGTGTCACAGACTGAAAGCCAAAGTTAACACTGCCTTCTCAGTCATATAATGGCAAAGCAGGGAGTCCAGGTTGCATACAGGTCGTCCAGTGAAAGAAACAGCTTCTCATCTCACTTGCCCACACTGCTGCATGACAAACATGCAATATTTAAATGGAAAATGCAATATTTAAATGGCAAGCCAGATAAGGCATCCCTCTTGTTATGATTACATTTTGACCTTTTCTGAGTTGCATAATATTAGAGTAATTGTATAATCGGTCTCATTTCTTCTGTGCTCTCCCTTGAAAGTACCCAACCAGCAGTGATTCTCACCCTCTTGTAGGCAAAAACTATTTCAAACCACCCACCTATCAGTTTTATCGCCTTCTCTCACTCTCAACTGGTTCATGCCCTTATTGGATATAATATACCTTCCTCCCTGATGGCATATTGATGCTACTTAAACTGACTTTTTCTGAATGCTATGAATATAGGATGAAGAAGCTATGAAACAGATGAAAGATTTGGATCACTAAATCTTTAAAAATTATTTCTGATTAGCAGGTAACATGCTTCAGACTAACTTTTCCTTTCCATTTCCTTCAATAGTTGCATTTTTTGGCAAGTTATGATATAATGACTATCCATATCATGATTTGAACTAGTGGTTAATCAAATTGTGTGTAATGAAACAGCAGGGTTTTTTGTTTGCTTCCTGTAATGCTGTTTGCTTTGAATTCAATCATTTTGAAATTTGTGCTGTAGCTTGGCTATGGTTCTGTTATAATTATTTCAGATGTTTAGTTAGCCATTTGAGAGATAGGCTGTTACCAACAGGAATATTGTCAAGGACACTTCTAAAGCAAATAACTAAACAGGACTTCTTAGGTGCTTTGATGTCCTTTGTTTTTCAAACATTTGCACTGACATATTTTCCTATATAATTATCACAATCACAAATGAGATCTGATCAAAGCATTCTGCTGTTTATGAAGGTTGAAACTTTTAACTTTTCATTTTTGGTTTTAGAGATCTTATGCTTATGGTTTTAAAAGCATCTGGGGAAGCCCTAGTTGGCAGGTTTATATAAATTTGGGTGTCTCTGCTACAATAATATATTTTGTGATTTTATCTGCAGAGCAAGTACTGGATCTGCCTTCCGACTTGATGGTGCTGCACTGCAGTGTAAATACTGAAAAACCAAAGCATTGTGTTTCATGAGATCACTAAGGAGGAAAGCCGTATCACGGCTGAGAAGAGTGATAATTTCTTCTGCATTATTCTATACTAAAAGTAAATATATATTATTTATATTATATTATATTATTATATAAATTATATTATTCTATACTTATAAAAGTAAATACATGATTGACATAGATCTACTGGCATGCAGAAGTAAGAAAACAGTACATGAAAGAGGTTTCCACCCCTGTGGTCAGGTAGCCCATGTACTTTGTTCCTGTAGCAGGGAAGGTGGGCTATCACACCATCTCAGTAGGCTTCAGATACCTCATAGGCCATGAGCTGAACGTGTCTGTGGCCACAGGACTTCAGGAAGCAGCCTGCCCACAGCTCTCCCTCACCAGCTGTCTGACTGTGTTACCTGTATCCAGAACTGTGTTAACCTGTGAAACCAGTCCTGCAGCTACATGAACTGTGAGCACTTTGGCTGTGCTGCAGCAGGGTGAACAGGATGGTGCTCTCATCATGTGGCCTGTCCTTGACAAACCAGTTCTATTATTGGAATTGCTACCACTCTTCCTGTTATCATGACTATTTTGCTACTTTCTCCACTCTTCTAATAGTTACCCTTTGTTGATCATCATTGAATCTTCCCATCTTTCTTCTGCTTCCAGCTTTGCTTTTAATGTCTTTCATTACAAACACAGAAGGAGAAACAAACCTGTCATTTATTTTTGTGCCCGTATATGTTGTTGCCCATCCTCTTAAGTGCACTCTTTCAATAAAATTTAATTTAGCTGCTGCAGCTGTACTCGTTGTTTAAAATAATATATAAGGAAGTGTAGAAAATGGTCAGGTATTCAAGAAAAGTGGTTGCATTTATGCTTGTTGCTGACATTTGCAGTACTCTTTAAGAGGCCTGAGCTATTGCAATATTTTTCTGCAGGATAAAATGACTTAAGATTCTATTTCAGTCTCTAATTTCTATTATTAAAGGAGCATCTCTGGTAACACAGAGATGGAACTTCAAGTTTCCAATGCATTTTCCAAGAGGAATAGGAGATAACCCAAGTGTCTTAAGCAATGTTAGAGTCACAATATCAGGACGGGAGATGAGCCAACATTAATGTCTGTGTGGCAGCTGTCTCTGCCTAAGCAAGTTGACTTAATGCTCAGTGAGGGCTGAAGTTTAAGAGAACAGATTTAAAAGGATAACTTTCAATGTGACTTTCATGGAACTACTGAGATGCTTTAAGAAAGGTACATAACTAGAAGTTTGCAAACTTTTTTTTTTTTTTTTTTTTTTTTTTTTTTTTTTTTTTTTTTTTTTAAATTTGTACCTTTTGAGTTGTGCTGGACACTTGGCTCCACGTTGTGTTTTCTTGCTTTCTAGATGTAGCACCCTGCATACTTCTAGAGTTAAAATAAATTGCTGGTTTTCAGTGTTGGAATAAAAAGCAGATTTAAAAAAATGTGGGGAAAGAAGTGATTTGCTCTGGATAGACATCCAAATGATACACACAGAGAATTATTATTTTTGAAGCTTAGGATGACAAAGTAGAGAAGGATATTTCATACTGTCCTATTGTATGTGGGGAAGTGTAATCCATCAACTACTTTGATAAGCTTTACCATTTTTTTGAAGATTGCTGTGAAATGATCTCATGAGCTGAATCAATTTAGACATTCCAAACAAATGTCTTTTAAAATGCCCAAGTGATGTATATGAAGAAACGATTGTTGTGTTTGTGTCTAGAGATCAATGCATTTTTCTTCATTTGCATTATGCTCTGACACTGCTGTAGCTGCTGGAGTTGCATTTCAGTAGTACTTGCTGTTGATTTATTTTTAATTTGATCTTAATCAGCTCTGTGTTTTTATCTCCTTTCTTTTTGTCATTTTATTTACTTAAGTATTAGCACAGTTCCTCAATAAGAAGCTTGGAAAGAGAAAGCTCACATTGTCTGGCTTCAGTAACCATCAGCTGTATTACCACATGCACATCTATCAAGATTAGTTACTTTTCCAGTACATAAAATCCATTTATGTAACAAGAAAATCAAATAAACACCGCTGTGTTTTCTTAAAATCTCTAGTGTCCACATCTTTCTTTGGCCACATAAAAATGATTTCTGGGAATTTAACAGCATCAGGTTTGGTTGTTATGTTAAAGTCTCAAGTGAACTGAATAAAAAACTGGACCTGTCAATATCTTATCTGAAGAAGGAAAATAGGTGAGGTTGCCTTTTGTTTGAACAATGTGAATTTAAGTAAATGCTTTGTTATTTCAATATCATTTTACATCTGATACATAGACACTTGCCTGGCTCTCTCACCAATGAAAATACATTAGTCTCCTCCAATTGTTCTGGAGCAGACACGTGGAGCAGTCTCACATGCCTCCAAAAAATACTGGTCATCCAAGAGATCCTCAGGAGGTGAGTCAGTGATCTGTCACAGTCCAAAAGCATGAACTGAGTAGACAATATGGCCAAATTCAGAGTGAGGGGCAAACTTGGCTGCAGGGGCTCTGGCAGATGTGTCACACCTGTGGCTGGAGACCCACCTGGCTTGTGATGGACACCTCATCTTGGGGTGAGCTGTGGAGCTGAGTGGAGGTGGGCACAGAAGGGCTGGTGCCACTGCTGAGAGCACAGGCAAAGGTAAGATAATGTAATAGGGTCTCTCTTTAGGAGTTTTGGGAGGAGTGTCCTGCCTTCTCCCTCCTCTGAGACCTTGCACTGAATAGGTGGAGCGCATGGCAAGGCACTACAGATACCACAAAGTAGAGCAGCCTGTTTCTTCCTCAGACCATGGCAAATATTGACAGAAGGACTTTAAGATCTCACTAGGCAGCCCTCTCTAGGGACACCTTCCTTTCCCTGCCTCAATTCTCCCTCCTCTTTTCCATTAACCTTTCCTGTACCCAGGATCCTGGCACCCTGTGTTGCCAGTGGGGCAGCTGACTTGGCTCCTGGAGTCCCTCACACCATACAAGTGCCTATGCCAGTGGGAAGTTTCCTGTTTCCCCCTCAGTTTTCTGAGAAGGACAGCTCTAAGGAAGGTTGCAGCAGTTCCCTGAAAAACAAAGATTATTACCTCTTATGTTTTCTTTTTTTTTTTCAGGCACATTCATATGAGAAAATATGAGAAAAGTTCCTAGTAAAGTATGAAGATGGACATTTCACAGAGTCAAACTGGTGCCAAGACAGGCTTTTAAGGATAAAGAATACTGTGAAGGATTTATTTTAGGGCGGTTTCTGATTAGCTGCTCATCACTATTATGTCTGGATCACAGTATTGGCTGCTTTTACAGTCAGGTGTTTGGATAGCATGCTCATTATCCAAAGGTAAAGGAAATGTGGGAAAAAATTACTCTAAGAATTTCTTTTCTGCACCTTTTTTCTCTGTCTGATAATGTTCCTTTGTTGCATACAGATTCTTTATAAAATTAAGAAGGGTTTCTAAATGGATTCCCTGTCAGCAGCAATAGAAATGGACTAAATTTTTAACATTTTCCTTAGATTTATGGGTATCTGGAACTCAAGGAAACATAGTATGAATACATGGAATTTTTTAATGCTGGTCTTTTCATATTTGATCCATAAATAAATAGCATTTGATTCTCTAGTTCTCATTTCCCTATCCACCAGTATCCATCTTCATTTCCCAGTGGAAGCCAATGCCATTCACTTTGGCATATTCTTTTTTGGGGTGGTATTTCTACATGGGAACCAGGATATGTGAGTCTTTGTGGGGAGGGGAATGACGGTTACCAAAACTGGGATTTGCTCCTGGAGTCCACAGAGCAGACATAGGTTATGTCAATATCCCACTATGGGGCACAGTTTAAGGCATTTCCCAGAAAACAGGCTGAAATTATTCTATTCAGGTCAGCTCCAGTTCTGGGGAAGCATGAGAGGGGATTCTTTGGTATTTTTAGGGCAAGCCCTTTACATGTTTCCTAACATGAATTTCATTTTTGGTACCTCTTACTTGAGAAAGCAAATGAACAAATATACATGTCTGTGTGAAAGGTGATCTACGGGGCACACCTTAATTCAGAAGGTGTGTTTAAAAAGAAAGCTAGTTCCTTCTTCACTGAGCATTCACCAAGTATAAGCAAGACATGACTGTTTTGTGAGCACTATTTTCACAATTTTTAAGCCAATAATGTTAATTTGAGGAAGGACCAGGAATTTAGGATGTTTCAAGTTAGAGATGAAGAACTTTTATGCTGGCTTCTGTGGACGTAATTTTCTCCAATGCACTGTGTTTGGCTCTAGTTAGGGTTATAAATCCTTCATTTCCACAAGCACTAAATTCACTGACAAATTTTGAAAAGTACCTTTCGTTTTTTCTGAGTGTTGTGTCACAGAGGAAAGTTGAAGACATGAGAAATGCTTGGGCTAAATGCCTCCTTTGGAGTAGCTGATTTGGGTGAAATATCTAAGGAATGTTAATCCTTTTAGTTTTAGTCATGTTTACAACTAGCCATTTTAAAGTGATGCAATGTGAAAATTCAGATATCACTAAGCATGTTATATCTGCAGAGGATGGAGAATGATTTGTCAAGTTATTACCCAGTATCCTCTTAAGCTCTCATCATTGTGTGATGTTGCCAGGCTTGCAATAATTCACAAATGCAGTAGGTTCCTTCAGAGAGCCTTGCAAACCACCACTCGCAGGTAGTGTAATCTGACACGATCCTTGTAGGCTTTTGTTTACTCTCCGCATGCACTAATAAATCCTCAGCAAGCTCTTGTTTACAGTTTGAGGAAAGGTGGTTTTTGAAGATAGCAGGGTCACACAATCCCTGGTACTGCTGCCCCTTTTAACTGCGGGCTGGAGCAATCCATGTCAAGCCTCCCTGAAGGATACCGCACTACAAAATGCAGCAGTAAAAAGACAATACTTGGACATTTAAGAAGTCAAGGATTTAAAGAAGCAACCAAAATCAATTGGAGCTTGATCTAATGGGTCTGAAAACAGACACAGAGAAGCTTCAGGCACTTTGACTTGAAAAGAACATTGCATAGTGTAGCTGGTGTCTTTTATGTTTGGCAGGTGGAAAGCTCTTTAATGTTTCTAGAGAGCAATGTT